AAGTGAAACTACATATATTTTAAACAGGTCGTTGGAAGCTTAGCCTGCAAGAGCACCCTTTTTTTTTCGGACAAGGGCCGAAAAAAACCGGTTTAACCTACGTAATTAGGTGACTGTGACATGGTGAAGGTATGTACACATATTGAAGAACGCCTTACCTTTGCTAAAGATTCTTCGAAATCATAAATTTCCATCATCAACGTTTCTGTGTCTGGGCGATCGACAAGAAGTTTTGCAACATCGACCATAAGCTTTTTGTATGCTTTGCGGACCTAGAATAGCGGAGAATTTCCACCTTAACTACAAGTAAACAATTATTAACAGACAATTACAAGATCCCGTCTAGAGAAATAACATGCACATGCAAAATAAGAAGGAAACCAAATCTGGCTCGTTGGCATTTTTCAGTTCTTCGTAGGTTTTCTTTTTGTTTTTGTGTGTTTTTCCAGTTTTTGAGTTATGTGTATTTTAGCTGCTTACTTTGGATTCTTACGGGACTACGGCATCACTTTCCATCGTCATAATTAGCTAGAATTGGCCCTCAAATGAGTCAGTAAGACGCTTATTTCCCACACAACCTGTTGTTTTGGAAACGATAACCAAAGCAAACACCAAAGAAAACCCTTAAAATCATCGCCCGGGTGATTAGTTTTTATAAGACATTGCTGACATGTTATCGCGTGTTCAAAACCCTCCCTTTTCATTTAATGTAACGCAATACCAAGAAGCGTTGTGTGACAACCCATGGGACGGTTGCGTGACCCACCTTTGCATGGTACGAAGTGTTCTTCAAAAAGCCTTCCTGAGAAATGGCAATTCCAGACTGATCAAGCTGAAAACATAGATACAAGCAAACTATTAAAAAAACACATGTTAGTTTTGTAGTTTCAGTGACGGTACTGCGATTGACTAGTATTACAAACTGTGGGAGTAGATCTACTCCAAGTTGGTCATTCTATGCTACATACGGAAAATACATGGAGTTCATTAGAACCTTACAGCAGGGTAGAGTTGTTTCCTAACCATAACATTTTCAAGGAGAAGAGAGAAACATGCATTTTGCCAAAAAAGAACAGTCTTTTCTTTCTCGCCCTCTAAACATATGGTGACACTTTGAGCGCTTTTCGACTGAGTGTCGAAAGTAACTCGTAAATTTTAGCAGTATGCTCGAGAAATCTCTAGTTTAACCATAAGTGTGGGATCTACCACAGAGTTCGTTGAGACTGTCGAATCTCTGATTCTCTCACGTTCTCTAGAAAATCGCAATGCAAGAGAAATTATTTCAGAGGGTTAAAACTAAAATGAACCAAATGTCGTATCGCCAAACAAAAGTTCACCTATTAAAGCGCTTTTTTCATAAAAATATTTTATTTACCTAGAGTACCAGAGAATATCTCTGTTTATTGATCTATGTATCAATCTATTTAAGCTTATTTAATATCTATTTATTTTTATATACGTGGACCTCGCTGCGCTCCATCCGCATTATTGAGATTAAGGCTGATATCTCATGATACGGTCCTAAAACCATTGCGGCACTCGTGCCCTTGTGCCCGGTCAATAAGAGATTTAAAAAACTCACCACAATAACATTTTTCGTTGAGTCTTTGAGATCAGCTGACACGTACATGTTAAAGAGCGGTGCAATCGACAAATATTTGTGAATTTTGACAAAAGTTTCCACAAACGTCCATTTTTCATCAGTCCAATTTCCGTCAGTTATGTTCCAGGATCCGTAGTCTTTGATCAAGTCCAACAGCGGTTGTGCGCCCAGACTCTCAATTTTGTCCTCATCCATGCAAGAATCGAACATGTCGAAACCTTTCGTGACAGCTTCGTTCTACAAGCGTGAGGAGGAACAAAATAAGATGCAAACATGAGAAAGCGTTTTGCTCAGTTTAAATAGATCGACGGAGCGAGGAAGTCTCTTGCCCTAATTTGGGACGTCACGCAAAGCGTCACGCAAAACGTCAAACAACGCGTCACGCAAAGCGGTTAAGCCTCATGGAAAGAGTCAGCGTCTCCCAGTGGAAGAAGCGTTGCGTCACGATCCAAATGGCGGCTGCGAATGAGACCACCTTTCACCCTCCGTCTGGAATTTTTTTAAAAATCATTTTGTAACCTTTAAATTTTGGTCAAAATGGCACTAGAATGACAGAAATAGAATTTTAGAGAGCCTCTGCCTCCGCATCGGCCGTAGCCTCCCTACGACTGTTACTGGCCTTCCTAAAGCCAAGCCCTTATACCTCGGTACATAATTCATCCACAATGGAAAAAATTATTTGCAAAGCATAACTTACATCTTTATATTTTTTCCTTGCATCTTCGTTGTCCCAAATAAGGTTTTTCATCACCAGTTCATTTCTTTGGTAAAGTACGCGAAATTGACTCCAGGATGTCTTGCTCTCAGGAATGTAATTCTTTTTCATCCACGTTCCACACGCATATTGGTAGAAATCCTCGCACGGATCCGCGCTTGCGTTCATTGCATTAAGAATATCTAGGAGAGAAAATGGACAGATGATGAGACAAATAGACTGACAGACACAAACAGAAAGAAAGAAATGGAAGAAGGGTGGAATGATGTAATAAAGAGGAATATGAGGAAGGAAGAAGACAGAATGCAGTCAAAATAAAGGAAAATTGTGTTTTAATTTGTGTTTCGATTGACAGTCGTCTGGAGAGTAGTTTCACTTTCAAGGAATAGGGTGGGTGGGTGGNGGGGGGGGGGGAATAGACATTTGTAGAACTTGCGATGTCAAGAGATGATCACATGTTCTTTTGAACTTTGAAATGTGTTAATTATTCTTTTTCTTTCAGATTTTTTTATTGATTCAGCTCCGACAAGAAGCTTGAGGAAAAGTAAAAGCTAAAAAAAAGAAACAAAACAAAACAACACACAAAAGAAAAATAGAAAAAAACTGGCAGAAAGCGTGCTCACTGATTGGTCAAAAGCGAACATCCATGATGTGCCTACAGACAATGAAAATGTGTAACGGATTTTCTAGTTTTTTAATAAAAACTTTGACAATTCGTAACGGCTGAACCACAAGAACCCGAACTCGGACCCATTTCTCTTGGATTTGTTTTGTTCGTTAGTTTGTCTTCAGTCATGTTATCGGCTATCGGGTGAACTGTTAACTTCGAACTCCCGCTATTTAGAGCTGACTCAGTTGTTTCCTCTGGCCCAATCTCTAACAGAAGAGTTCTAATTAACAAATCGAATGTGGTTTAGCGTGGTCTGTACTCTTATCGACGACGATACGCGTCATCACAGTGGTCAAAATGTTTTGGACTCACGAGGCTATCGCCTCGTGGGTCCACAGGTACTTTGACAATGTTACGACGAAATTCATGATCAATAACAGGACTGACGCATGAAAAACTGACGTCAATTTGTCAAACTGACAACGCTAAATTACATTTCAATTTGTTTTGTTACCACAATATCAAAGCCAAAGCAAATGTTTTTTTCAGAGCGTAAGCTGAAAAAGGCATTGCGCAACACATTGACACGAGCAGCGTGGTCTGAACTCTTATCGACGACGGAAAATTAGCCAACCAGATTGCGAGATTAGCAGCAATTGTGGTAAAAATAAGCACTGCAGCACGCGAGAGTACAGCTCAACTTAGCACCTTCAAGGAGTGGTTGCTAAACTAGACAAACATGTGCTTTCTTGGCAAAGTAAATATGATGGCGGCTGGTGTACGATGGAAATTCTCGTTCATTCTGAAGACATCACTTTACGTCTGGCCCCCTCGAGGTATTGAGAATTTAGCAAAGCGAGTTGCAACAGGCTTGAAGCGAAATCTTTTCAAGAAATGACGTTCAAGGTAATTAAACCTGGTAAACAATGGTTTCGTTCACCACTAGCCGATTCTCTTCAGACCGGGAACTACGAATTCCAGACAATACGACTGCATATGAAGTCGTTAAAGATGAAATTAAACAAAGGTACATGACAACTGCACTGTGTTATTTATGCATTCTGCAACCTGAAGATTAGGTTATAAATTCAGTTACAATTGATGTAACTACCTACGCGTATATACAATACTCCTGAATGCTCTACACACGTACGCAGGCGACCACTTTCGTGTCAGTAATTTCCAGATGTTTCCATGTGTGAGCTACATTTTTGTAGTTTTTGTGACTTACGTTATTTATTTGTTATTCAAGTCAATTCCAGATGTGCCCATCTCCCCTCCCCCTGGGGCAATGTGCTTAGATTAATTGAAACTAAAACGAGAAACGAACAAAATAAAAAATTTTTGAGCCACTACCCCTGGGCATTTGAACAACTACATCAATTGCAAATGCTAATTTCAGGGGAGGCGGGGCATAGGCACTGCTGGAATAGATTGTTTTTTGATATATTAATTAAAAGTCACCTTGGCAGCGAGCCTAGAGGACAAAAATATAGAAAACTGAATAAGCATTTTTATTCATTTGTGTTGTTGGTGCTCCAGGCTGCACTATCAAACTGAATTATAAGATATCGACTGTAGCCCATTGACTGGTGCTTTGCTCCAAAACATTTGTTTGCATCAGGGTCAGGGAATAAGTAAATTATAATAATTTGTAATAATTAATTTCCCAGCTAAAACGCTGACCAGGGTATTTTGAGCCCCTGACCCTGCTATTTTGAGCAACTTTTAATTTCACTTGAGAATTCGGAATAGCAGCTGCAGTCTTGACATTTATAGCCTTAAGACAATCAGGCGTTATCGTTGGCGTTACGCGTCGCGGGAGTGTTATTGATTCTAAATATTCCAACTATTGGTAACAGTCGTATAGCGTACGAGTCGATTTTAATTGACAGTATATTTGTCTGCACTTGACTATGTTTGAATATCATTAACTACAAATGCACTTAAAGTGTCCTATTTGCATAATTTTTTTTTTATAATTTAAAGGTACTATAATGAAGAGCAGAAGTAACCTTATACTCCAGATTTGTATTTTAAGAGGACAGTGGAGGCTTGAGCATAAAAAGGTAAATAGATTACGTCAGCTTTAAACATTAGCTGCGTTCCTCTTCATCAAACTGACGAGCTAATGTCACGTTCCCACGCAGGAGGGTCTCGGTTAATTACGACCTTTTAGCCACAAAAAAATGTCTTTGTAAACATGTCTAAAAGCCGATCAGACCCTTCACAAACCTTTTGACAGCGAATTGTGAGTTGTTTTGACAGAGGAGCTACTTGTACAAATACGCAAATTCGAACGAACTTAGAAGTGTCTTAATTGGAAATATCTTAACGAGGTCTGGTAAACTAATTTAAAATGCGCCGCGTTTGAAAATCCAGCAGCTTTCAAGAGCGTGAGATCGGAGGTTGCTGTAGTGCAGCATATAATACCGTGCACCTAGAATGCGAACACACTTACCGGAAGACGCTGAAATCCACTCTTTCGATTTATTTTCCGGCATGTGGCTAGGTTTTTTTTCTCCTTTTGACGCCGTTGCAAACAGCACAATGAAAACAATGCACAACACAGCGAGAAGAATCAAACCAGCAATCATGCATTTCTCACGTTTCGATAATCTGGTTGAATCGCGATGCAGCGGCTTCTCGCTCGTCGGTTGAATGTCAATGTCATCAAACAATACCGACCTGTGGGCTGCTCGGACAAAACTGGGCGACTCATCACCTCGTCCCTTCACGAGATAGTTTGCATTGAGGAGCCCTTCTGTACTTGGCTTGTACATGACTATAAACAAGAGTTCCCTTCTGCGAAGTAATCGAGCCAAGTCTGTCAGTAGTGCATCGACTGTGCCAGGTTTGCATGAAGGTGCGCTCTTCCTAAAAGCGACAGCCTTAAACAAAGATCTGATCCAGCATGAAATTGGCCCACAACAGGAAAATTCACACTAACTTCTTCTAACAATGATTAGTAAGTTATGCAAATTATTTAACCCTGAGAACGCGATTAAAAACAATAGAAATTATCGTCCTTGGCGATAAATTTACCACATGGGGTGTGGACTACGAGATTGAAATACAGTATCCCTTGGAGGACACAGGGCTATATAAGTAATAATCTTTAAGTGGTGCTATAGTATATTTTTATGGGACAAGGTTCGTTAATAAGAGTTCTCATTGGTTTTAGATGAAGTACACATAGACAGGAAAGTGTCTTTGAAAGGCTGCTTTCTCCCTGTGCAAGATCGTTGCTCCTCGTGACGCTTGCCAAATCAAGCTCAATCGAAGTAACAGGTAGCACTGATGTTGTGCTTAACAGGTGTATATTGTTTTTAGGGGGTTGGAGGCGGCTTGCCAAACTGGGCGTTAATTTGAAAATGACGCATATTTAGGTCATTAATATGACGCAACTGTGAAAAAAGTTAACATCAACTCAACACCATGTCGCGGCAACAATTCAGCACCTACTTTGGTTTACAACTTCGAATTCCAAAGTTCATTGATATGAGATTTAGTACTCTATAAATAGATCCTACTTGTAGCGAATGCAAATGTGGCAAGGGACCGCAAAAGAAAACGGTGCTGATTCTTAGTGACTCAATGATCGTTACCTCCGTCTAGAATTGGTAAGAAATCCGCAGCGAGGAGAATTTGAAACAAAGCAGTGTGGTGAGATGCGAATTTTCCAAAAAGGTCTTTCGGAGCCCTACTGGCATACGACCAAGTGCCTTGTTTTGGTATTGATAGTGGACAATATACACTTAATCGAGATTCTCGAGAAAACAAAATTAACTGTTTCCTAAAGAACCAGTAATTAATTGTTTTGCGATATGGCTGGAAATAAGTGTAAAGTTTTAAGTCAAGAAATCAAAATAACCCGTGCTTAGTGGGAGAGCGGGTTACGATTGCATAATTGTTGCCCGCCGGGCAACATTTAGATTGAGATTTGTCATTGCCACGCGACCATAAATCAACTGAACCAAAACTCCCGCGATATAACAACGTTACATATATTGCACCACACAAACATAGTTTTCCGCAAGCCCGGTCCTCACCTGAGACGCAAGCATAAGCATAAGCTGAAACATAAGAAGCTTATGCGCTAGTGGGAACGGCCAGACATAAGCATAAGTCTTCTTCTTACGTTTATGCTTATGTTTGTGGCGCTGTTATGCCCAGTGAGGACATGGTCGGCCTAAGCATACAGCGCTCGTTCCTTATGCTTAGGCGTATGTCAACCATGTCTCCAATAGACATAAAAGCGACATAAGCATAAGTATCAGCATACGAAAAACGCAAGATTTTTATATTCTTATGCTTGTACGTATCTTTATGCCCTGCCGTCCACTGGCGCATGAGCTTTTTTATACTTATGCTTATGTTCGCGTCTCAAGTGATGACCGGACATTCAGACATTCCTGGAGGAGAAAAATGACCAAGACCTGGGATATTACATAATATTATTATTATTATATAGCATTATTGAAAAGTGTTAAGTAAAAGTACGTGGCCGTGCTCGAATTTGGAAGAAGCATGAAAGAAGCTTTTGTAATTTTACTTAAATCAACTGCTAAT